GCTCCTCCATCAGCGAGCGGATGTGCTGCGCCTCGAACTCCAGCTGCTGCCGGATCAGATCCATCTGCATGGAGAACTGGGGGGCAAAGGGGGCACGGAGGGAGGGGAGGGCAGGTCCTGCCCGCGCCCCAGGGCCTGGGGGACCCCCACTCACGGTCTCCACGTGGGGCAGCTCCTCCAGGCGCGTGGCCAGGCTCTGCAGCTGGGCATAGTACCAGACCTTCTCCTCCTCCTCCTTCTCAATCTCCCCCAACAAGAAGCACCTGGGGAGGGGGTTGAGCCCCATTAGTGCAGCCCCCCCCACACACACACACCCTGCTTCATAGAATCATAGAGGTTGGAAAAGCCCTCTAAGATCATCAAGTCCAGCTGTCAACCCAGCCCCACCGTGCCCACTAAACCATGTCCCCAAGTGCCACATCTGCACGTTTTTTGAACCCCGTGACTCCCCAGCGCAGCCTGTTCCACTGTTTGGCCACTCACTAAATAAATTGTTCCTCAGACCCAACCTAATCCTCCCTTGGGCGACTCGAGGCCATTTTCTCTCATCCTACCACATTTTCTCTTGTCCTCTCATCCCACCCCCCCCAGGGGCTGTCACCTCTCCCTGTCCAGCTCCTCCAGCATCCGGATGGTGGCTCTGCCCAGGTCCCCAGCACTGTCCCGGTGCGGGGCTGGGGCTGCTGGGCTGTCCTCAGCACTGCGCCCACTGCCAGCCACCTCTGGGGGGAACTTGAGGTTGTAGAGGCTGGTGATGTCCATCTGTAGGGCTGGGGACAGGGACAGCAGGATGAGGGTGGGCTCAGTGGGGACACCCCCTCCCCACCCTGCCTGGGCACCCACCTTTCAGCTGGTCCAGGACCTCTGTCTGCCCAGAGGACACCATGACCCGCGCCTCCTGCTCCAGCTTCCCCTGGAGGTGCTTCAGGACCTCCTGGAACAAGGATGGAGCCGCTGGGGAGGGGGTAGGCAAAGGGAAGCCCCCATGTGCCCTCCCCACAGCCCTGGCACAGGGTCTGTGTGTGTCTGTGTGTGTGTGTGTGTGTCCCGGGTTTGTTCCCACCTTCATGTCCGAGGTCTCATTCTCCAGCTTGGAGAGGTGGTTGGAGTTGTCCTCCAGCTCCCGCCGGAGGTGGGAGTTCTCCTTCTTCAGCGCCTCCACCTGCCGCACCAGCTGCTCGTACGAGGCGATGGAGCCCGACATCTTCACCCCCTCCAGCGCCTGCGGGGGGG